TTGATGAATCAGAACATCCTGCACCCTCTTGTACTGAAGGTATATATTAAAAAAAACCAAAAACAGAAAATGTATCAAAACTAGTTCTTCACTTAGATCGATGTTGTCATGGTGGTCTTATTCCTTTGAAGTGTGTATCCTTAAAGCCACACCAGAATCTTTGTTCTCAAATTTCAGAAATGATAACTGATGGATTTCAAAGAAAGCTTAGAAATAATGAAAGTCTTACAAAATATGCAACATAATAGGAAGAATAAGTGTAAAAATGAAGCGTAAGAACAATGTGAAAACTGCAGAATACAGTTTATGTTACTAGTATATTAGCATGGTTTATTTTATCAATAATCTTACGGCATTGCATGCTTTTTTATGCAAATCTCAACCATGAATCAACTAATTCTCTGGGAATCTCGATTTTCAGTTTAAAAGAAGAAAAAAAAGAAAAGCTAAAGCTAATAGCTAATAGCTGGAACTCAGAAAAGTTGTCTGGGAATAGTCTGAAATCTCAGCTTTCATAGGAGAAATTAAGAGAACCTCAAATACATTACTTTGTAAATATTGATGTTCAAGATATCTGGGTTTTTTTGTTTGTGGGTTTTTCTTATTCTGAAAGATTAGGATTTCTGAACACAGAGTTGGTAAGATGCAAAGTATTTTAGAAGAAAACTGTCTTTTGAAAGGACTTTTGTATATCCCAGAGGAAGACAGTTGAAATCTTCTGGGCAAGAAAGTTTTTTTTAGAGCATATTCAATCACATTAAAGGATAATTGCGGCTTCTTACTAATAACTATGAACCACTTGGAGGAGCATCACTGCCTCTGGAATACACAGGCAGTGTTCTGAAAGTTCTGAAAATACTTGAACTCTAACACAGGGAGGACTTGTACCTCTAGGCACAGTCTTTTGCTTTTTGCCATTAAACACTTAGGTCCTGCTTCTTCCTTCAGAGTCTATGCAATATTACTGCATTTTGTAAAATAGAGTCCTCCAAAGTATGTGAAGTACCTTTCAGACAAGACAGTGTTTTTCCCAAGTGAAGTTCAGGTGCTGTAAAGCATGCAGTATAATTCTGCTTTGTGGCTTCACTAGTTGAATGCTACAATATCACTGCATCAGGTATTCTCAGTCATACCTCTAAAATTTTATTTTCAAGGACTGGCTACATAGGTAGAGACTGTCCAAAGTTTACATTACCTTTAAGTTATTGATAGTGTCAAGACAATTTTATTGCAGCCAAGAGAAACTTCAGGCTGTCCTACTTCCACTGTTTACCTCAGAGTGACTGTAACAAGTCACAGATGAAATTACCATGCTGGAGAGGTACCTTCCACAGTGCAGTGGCAACCCACCCTTCTCTCTTTGAGGCCTGCAAACCCTAATAATATTTTGTTTCATCTAACTTTATTTTCTATGCAGAACTGTTCTTGCTCCATATAAATTGATAACATGAAAATAGCTGTTAAACTAAATACATGAAATTTTCATTTATCAGTCAGGCAAATCAAACAGGAGAATTTTGCTGTTCCTAAAAGTCTAATCCTTTTAATAAATTGGTTTGTGTTTCAGACATCATTCTGGCATAAATGCACCCTAATAGCATATTCCAGGCTCTGAAGACTCCTTTTTCTTTCCTTTTTTCTCTTTTATTTTCCTCTTCTGTCTGCTTTCATAAAATAACAAGCTTACTGGATTTGTTTTTAAATTGTATTTACTCCAGATAATTCACCGATTCATAAAAGACAGCTTAGAAAATAAGATACACAAAAGATAGGGGTTTGTGATGCAGAAGAATACTTCCATTTGAGTCTATACAAAATTTTCTTTCCCTCTTCACAAGATTTAAATGAGTTTTTTAAGAGTACATTTACCTTACACATTTAACTACACTGGCATTACAGAGTATATAATAAGACTTAAAAAGCACTATCATGATATTTTTAGCTTCTTGTCATATATAGCAGCAAATTTATATTATGGTCCCTGTGTTGGGAAGCTTGCTTGGAGACTTATTCTCCTCCCAGTCTCCAGAAAACAGACAAGCAGCTCCTGTGTCACAGCAGTATTCTGCTCCCTCAGTCACTGGAATACACTCATGTTCTCTTCTCTTGCCCTCCTGCCAGCCTTATGGCTCTGGCTAAGAGTTTCAGCAGAGAGCTTCAACCCTGTTTCAGAGCACACTCTGGCCAGATGGTGAGGGTGCTCTCCCTGTCTCCACTGATACAGACATGAGTGGTGGTAGCATCACCAGCAGAACTTTGCTCTTTCATGTCTCAATGTTCGGCAACAGGGCACTCGGGAACCCGAGGGAAAAGTAACAACATCTGAAAGTCAGGGCCTAAGTTCCAGAGAGGGCACAAATTCAGACACATCAAATGTGGTTTGTGCACCAAAAAAGTCCCTTGCTCACTAACAAGACTCTTCAGAAGTTAATGGAACCCTCTTCTCTGGCTTTCACACACACTGTCTCAGGAGGCTTGGATCACTGGCATTTATAACTTAGATTGCATTGATTTATTTTAAACCTGTATCTTGTGACTCAGATGGGTGAACATGTTTTACATGCTTTCAATGATGAAAACTCCGAATTTGTTTTTCATCAGTGTTCTTCATTTTTAAAATTTACAAAAAATACCAATAGCAATGACACATGTGTTTTATTCAACAAGCAACATACTCTTTTTATGACATTTCTGAGCCTCCACCTAACATATGGAAACTTTTTGTATCTAAAGAATTTTGGCTTGGGGGTTCCAGAACTTCATAGAACACATACTGAGAGTGGTATTCACAAATGCTGAATTTAGGAAAGAGTTCCTTTCATCAGACAGATACTGATCTAGTAAGGTGGCAATGACTAAAACATGGCTTCTTCCAGTTAACTTAAATCTGGACAAACTTACACAGTGTCTGACTTAATAGACTGCAAATCATACAAGTCCAGAAAGATGCACCACAGTTCTTACTTTCACAAGCTATACAGAAAAGAAGAAAGAAGTACACTTCACTTACCACATCTTTCATCAGTAAAAATAAACAGTGAAGAAAATAGTCCAGATCAATCTCTGCAATTTCCTTATAACTGGGAGCAAACACTTGCACCTCAGCTGCCTATTAGCTCATGTGAGATAGAAAGAGGAGGAAAGAACCCTGTCTTTTCTGCCAAACCACCAGTGAAGGAGGAATGAAACATAATCTTTTTGTGGAAGGAGGAGACAGAGGTATGCCCTATCATCCTCATATAAGTACTGAAGGAATTCAACAGTTTCACACAGTCGGCCTTGCAAATAGCATCTATTTCATTCCTGGTAGTACTAAAGTTTCAAAATTTTTCTTTCTAAAAAAGTAATTACTTATTAAAATCAGTTAACTTTGAACTATTACTTTTCATTTATTTTTGAGGATTTAGTTATTCAATGTCAAATATCACAATTTAGTGTAGTTTTATATAGGCGCAAATTCACAGAGCATAGATCTCATGCAAATATGTTCAAAATATGTTTTATTTTGCTCACAATACAATCAGAACTGAAGATATATTTAGATTGTGTTTATTGCCTTGCCAAGCTAGATACCTGGCTACACATGAGTTTTCCCTATTATTCATCTGAAATCACTGTAGAAAAGCCCAGTCAAGAGAATTTATGGGCTACTTCAGGCAGAAATTTGGAAAAAAGCGTGTGTGGTATATTCATTAATCAATGAGAGTCATTTTTACAATCTTGTTTTGTGCCAGATACTGAAATTAGATCTGTTAGGGGGAAATCTTCCAATTCACAAGGAGCCCTACTGAAATTGCTTAAGCTCAGGCAACAGATTTCACTGGTAACCTTTCATCCCACAACTTCTGGAAAGTCACAACTGTCATCAGAAATAACTTGCATTTGTGAAATTCCACACCATTGAATGTTTCTCACTAAGTAAAGTCAGAGACATACATGTATTTAAATAGATCTAAAATGTAAATTTCATTTGTGTCTTCAAGTCAGTCTCTGAACAGGCATTTTTCAATCTGATTTGAATCTTATAATTGCAAAAGAGTGAGTATTAGGTATTATATTCTGTAGTAATGCAAACAGAAAGTATAATAGGAAGGAGTCCTGCAGAGAACTATTAAAATGCCATGAATTTAATGAAAACTCTTTTGAAAGCTTATGAAGAATTAATTTCTTTTCATCTATGTGGCCACAAGTCAATAATAGGAATTATTAAGTCAGTAACTTTGTAGATAATTGAAAATAAGTACAGATAGATTTACTACCAAAAATTATTTTAAAAATTAAGTTGGCAAAAGCAATATACATCATGTTGATTTCAGCTGATGACTGTGGTGTAAATGTACTCATAGTATATAGAACTCACAGTACCAGTTATTAAAGACTGAAACTGGCAAGATCTGCACTACAAAGAAAACACATACTTAACTGTAAATATAAATTCTAAATTTCTCTATAATGAAACCTGCTAAGTGTGCAGCAATAACTTCAAACTTCACTGTTTTGCTCGATACAATCTAACTTGAAATTCTTCAACAACATGGAGTTTTCTCGACCCTCAAATTAATTAGTTTGATCTCTACTTTTATTTTTAATCTTTCCTAAACCTTCTGGTAGCAGCAAATTGCTTGTGGAGAGCACAGAATTGAATAAAACAGCTGGACTAAACTAACGTGTTGGAGGAAGGAAAAAAGCTTTGCAATTTATTAATGTATTCAAACGACTGTTACAAAGTTTACAATTTAATTATTGGAAGATTATAGAACTGCTTCACTGCTTCTGTACTGTGTTAAATAAACTGTACGTGCAAGGAGTAATAAATGAAATTGTTAATTTCAGTGCATCCTTAGGGAATAGTAAGAGGGGGAGTTTACATTATTTAGAGCTCCAAATGGATTTGAGTTTATATACAGTAATAAATCTTAACTACATTGTTAATTAACCCTGCCTCAAGCCCCTTTTTGCCTTAGGAGTTGAAAGACACAGTGTCTGTTAGGATAACTCACCATCCATGTGCTTAAAGATGCTTAGGACTGGGAGAATTTGCCGATAATAGGGCACCAAGGCCTCCCCCACCATTTCAGCTGACACCACCAGGTGCTGGATGACTTTCAGTGTGGTGCAGAGGACCTGGCGGTTACGAAGGTTCAGTGCATCTGTGATGCAAAAAGAACAACAGACAGAAAGCAGAATTAATTTCTAAAATGTAAAGGGAGGGGGAGGAGTTCTCTAATGGACAAATTTAATTAAACTATACTCTGTTGGGAATTGTAAGTGGGCCTTTATTAGCCCAGCTTAGAAAGATCCCAAAGATGGATTGCAGTCCTGATGTTATAAAACACTGCCTTGTCTGATTGTTATTTGTTCCCACAATTTGTGCTGACTCTTCAGTAACCCAAAGAATGCAGCTCATTATTCCCTCACGCTGCCTGTATAATACTGGTGTGGTCCAAACAAATGAAAAATAAATGTTCAGTAAGTACCACTTGGGGCCAATGGAACTATACAACTGCAAGACAACCTGCAAAGGTTGACAACAGATGCATTCTAGTACAACAATTGGTGTTTGTATGTTTGCACTCATTTATTTAATGATAATTTTATTCATTCAACTGACAATTCCTACTATTCTGAGAATCAGTACAATGAAGCAAATGTTTATAGAAAAAACCACCGACAAACAAACCTTGTAGGCTTTTTCAAAAGGAAAACATTCTAGGGGGAAAAGAAAGGTTTTGTCTAGCCTACTTAGATGTTTCTCTTAGCTTTCAGTGTCATGCTTCTAATCTTATGACACTAAGACATTTCATAAAAACCTCTTGTTTCTTCTCTTTTAATTTTACTAAAAGCAAGTACTTTGCATTCTCTCTTGTAATTAAAAATGAGTCACGCTTGAAATATAAATTTTTTTCTCCCTTGCAAAATCCATCTATTTATAAAAGCATTTCTGAAATTATGTAGCTGGATAAATTTGTCAGCAGTTGTGAGATTTGGTATAGTTTTACATATCGGTCTAATACTCCAGTGTTCTGCCCAGTTACGTAGAATTCTACATCACTGCACTGGGACAGAACTGAAAAAGATAAGCTCAAATTTATTACCATGTTTTATAAACACAGACATCTATAAATATGTGATTTGAGACACCATAACAAAGTATAAGCATTTAGAAAAAAATTGTAGCAAAGAATACAACAAAATTTGAAGAGGAGTTATTAGTAAGTTCTTCAAGAACTGCCTCTTCAAATAGAAGTATTAGGATCAAAAATATCTCTACTCATTGCAGAGGTGTTGGAGCCAGATGATCATTAAAGGCCCCTTGCAACCCAAACCAGTCTATGATTCTGCAATTCTATGATTCAGTATTTCCTATGCTGAGTTTTATCAGTGCACAGGACTGCCATTTCATAGGGAATGAAGTAGTATTTTCACAAAGGAACAATGTCAAAGGAACAATCTCTTTAAGAAAATGCATTGTACCCCACCTGCTTCTGCTGCTTATCACACGCCTGCTGAGTGTTAAAAATCAGAGCTAGATCTCCAAGCCAAGGGCAGGGCAGATTGGTTGTGTGAATGGACAGAGACATTTCTCAAAAATCATCTTTCATTTCAAAATATAATCTTTCATGCCTCTTGGCATGCTTGTGAACAACATACTGAACCTACTGTTAGAAAACAGAAAGCCCAAGGTATAAAGGTACTATTACACCTCATCCAATTTAAAAGAGTACTCCTAAATGAATATACAGACTGAATTCCATATTGTTTATTTTCTGCAATAGTCGCTACTGTAGTCACCAGGCTGCACTTAATTTCCATTGACTCTGAGCATAATACTGTGTGGACAAGAAGCCCAACAATGCAGCATGCTCATGTTAAGTTCCAGCAAAGAGGCTGGCTATTTGAAATTATGCTTTTGTGGATGGATGTTTTAAGGCTTCTTTAGCAAACAGAGACACTCAGGTACAATTTTAAAAATTGGGTCCAAGCCTTAGGTAGGAAAATACTCTGTTAGAGAGAAACAGGCGTTATTCCTTTACATGGAAGAGTGGTTGGAAGAGCAAGTTTTGGGGTTCCATCGTATAGATTTATTCACTAAATAATTTATCTGTATGACAAGTTAGTAGTGAATAAATAATTATTCACTACTAACTTGTCATACACATAAATAATAGCTAACTGAACTAATAGAGAAATTATCACTAACACTGGCAATTTTCAGTACAATAGTTGTCATGCATACAATCATGAACAAATATTTATCCTCAATTATATGAATAATTACAAATTATTAAATTAATTATTCATACACACAAAATTAATTAAGGGATATAAAAATTAATCATTGACAGAAATCACTGTTTCTTAATTTTTAACAAATTGTACCCACTCCCAGGAATAGTACTTCTGGACTGTAGAAGCTGTTCCAGACTATAAGAAACCTTATTTCTATGCATGCAGAGTATGTCATGTAAGTGGGAATGGCTGTCCAAATACTCCTAGGAAGAACTTTTGGATGGATCCCATCTGATGCTATAGACTTGTCTCTGTCCAAGTGGAGCAGTAGGTACCTGACCATTTCTCTCTGGATTATGGTGGCTTCATCCTGTTCCCCAGTCTCCAGCTCAGGGGTATACAGGTAATTAACATAAATTGATGTAAATTTAGTGTTTCTTTTGTTAATTTCCATTAAGAGCAGAAACTTTTCTTAAGATATATGCCACTTGTTTGCTTATCCATTTAGCTAGATGCTAATAGAATAAAGCAATAGAAATAATTATTTTAAAATATTCAAATCTTTTTCTTGAGTAACACTTATTACCTCTCAAAGACCTAGAAGTTATATAAGTTGATATATTTTATTTTTATGTGGCAGTTTGGAAAATTCTATCTCAGTCCCAGATATTGTCTACAATAGAAGCCACACTTCTCATGTGATAGATGAGATTGATAGATTCTATAAGCCAGGAAACATGACAGCGTTTCTCCCAATACACAGTGGATCTTTTTCATGACACAATATAGTTCCACAGAAGAGATCAAATCAGAACATTCTCTCCCAGATAGCACATTGATATCCTCAGCTTTACAGAATCAAATCAGTTTCCCTAAACTTCTGTCTCTTCTCTAACTACTAATTTTAGATTTTGGTCATTATATTAAAAGTTACGTTGATAATATAATTCTCTTTAACTTCTTTTTCAAATACACCTGTGAATCTATGCTTAGAAGTGCACCAATATTTTCCATTTTCTATTTAGGTCTCATGACTAAACATTAAAACCAATTTATTTTGCATTCATATCTCTCACTCAATTAGTAAAGGAGGCAACAGTTTTAGAAAATGCTTTGCCTGAAGCAGAACAAGATACATAGTGTATCCTGTGAGGTAACAAGCACTCAGGATAAAAATGCTTGACTGTTGTGATCTACTTAATCTTGTTGATCAAGGGCTTATTTTAAATTCACAGTCAGTTTTAAAGAAGTCCTAACATGAAGTGTTCTCAAAATGTAATTGATTAAAGTGATACATATTTCTCTTACAAAATTTTGTCCAAAATCTTCAAAGTGCGTAACACTTAACTACCTGTGCTCCTATTGTGCTAAACTTACAGAACAGTAATGAAGAGTATTATGAAATACAACATTTCAATCAAGAGTGAATAAAAACCAGAATAAGAACCTTGTGTTCTGTACTTTTTAGAAGTCCAGTAACATCCTGATCCAAATAACAATACAGATGTACAAAAATTTCTTTCTGTACAACTGAAAGTGTGATGTGTCACAGCAAAATTATGGGAAGGATAAAAAGGGGGTAAGGCATGAAAACCTTATGCCAATTTTGTCATCAAAGACCTTTTTATGCAAAGCCAAAGTCTAAGGCACAGAAAATGCTCAGATCCATAAGTGAAACACTGATGCTTTCAAGAAACATGATATAGCAGAATATGGAAGTCAGTCAGTGGCTTCTTTCAGCTTTAGTTGTGCTTCTAATTGTAGCATTTTGCTAGATCAGCCCCTTTAAAGCTTCAATTCTATTAACACTTGTGGACCCAGTTTAATTATATAGTAGAAAGAATACTTAGAAGAGAGTCCCAAAAACCTGCTCAATGACTATGCCAGTCTAGAGCTTCTATCCATTCCTAGGTGTACATTCCTTCCTCTGAGCTAAGATACTAAAACTGCACTGAGTATCCACCCTCCTGATGAAAACAGGTCTGCTACCACTGAAATGTGATGCCATTTACAAAAAAGGTCTGCAGAACCAAAGTAGTACAGACATCTATACTGCAAAACTTAACCTAGCATTCCAAATGTTCTCTAGATCCTTGAAGAAGAATGCGGTCAAGAAAAACCTGATAAAACGGTTTTCTTAGACTTTTAAAAGGAATTTAATAAGGTCCCTCACTGAACCTCCATGGCTTCCATAGAAATAAATAATGACTTGGAGATAGAAACTGTAGGCAACAATAAATGATTGAAGAGGAATAATATCACTAGTAAGGCCTTGCAGGAATTCTGTGCTGAATTTTGTTTTTCACTAGATCCAAAGGTGATTTGGAAGAGCCTTCACTGATTATAACAAATATTTCTGTTGATGTCAAGTTATTCCAGATGCCAAAGATAAGGACTGACTCTGAAGAGCTGTATAGAACAACAGGGTGATAAAATTGCAGATGAAATTCGTTACTAATAAATGCTAAATATAATACACCTATAAATTCAGGAAAGAATAGCTCTAACTCCAACTTTAAAAGTCAGGGATGTTAATTACAGATTTCACTTTCCAAACATGGATAAGATTTATTTTATTGAATAAGGAATACAGTTTATCCTCTCAGAAGAGAGTAAAGAGGAGTAATAAAGGAGCTACTTCCTAAAGCAGTTGAAAACACCTGAAATGACCAGTTTTGAGCAGAAGAATGTAACATAAACCTAATCACAACTACTTGTACTGGTTGATGAAAACTGCAGGGGAAATGCTTTAGTATTTGATATCAGAAAAATTTAAAAAATCAGAGGCCTTTGCTTTCTTTAAAAGAATTTTCAAGTCTATAAAAGCATGATTGTTTACTTTTATTTTTCAGTCTCTGACCTTAATAACCAGGACTGGTTCTCAAGAGCAACAGTCAGCCAGGAGGAAAATCACAATTACAATTAATGTTTTAACTTTATGTAGCTGAGAGAAATCAACTTCCATGATCTGCAGAAAGAAAATGACAACAGACCAGAAAATCATATTTATTCCATAAAAGTATTGCAGAACTGTGTGAAAGGAAGTATTTAACAGTCATTAAGTACTCCTAAATACTGTGAATATGTGAGAACTATAACTATGCTTAGAAAAACTGTTAGCAACACATTCAACTTCACATATCTAAATGCAAAAGTGACACTGATTTGACATTAAATGTGAATTAACTACACTGTACTCCAAGACAACATTTTTCATGCAAATAGAATGAACAATAAGAAAATGGAAATCAAGTGCAAACAGAATGTGAACAATAAGAAAACAGAAATCAGTTTAATTTGGAAATTTATTAAATATTAAAAAGGACTCTGTAGGTGACACTGAGAGAGGAATGCTCTATTCATTTCTCTAAATCTGACTCACAAAAATATCTATTACCTTAACAAAACATTTTTAACAAAGTTTAAGTTATCCTTGATTTACTGTATCACAGAAGTTATGTTTGACAGCATGGTAAAAGTCTCAACAAGGAAAACTTCAGAGTTCCTTAGGATGGAGATTGTTTTTATACTCAATCAGAAAGACTGGTCTGATTGGAACTGTGTAGAAAAAATACTTCCGTCTCAGTTACAAGTGCAAAGATGAGAGCTTTTCTAGCTTTTAGGCCTAAGTTCAGATTGTCTACATATCTGTTTTAGGATTCACAGCACAGAACAGAGAAGATTCTGGCAAGTGGGTGATCCAAGATATTTAAGTGTTCAATTTCACATTATAACAGTCATTAGCAAAGCCATATGGAGATCTTCTATTGATCATTTTTAGCCATTCAGTCCAATGTCTGTGCTACTGTTCCTTCATATGTGGGAGTACATTTATAAATTAAATTATTGAAATGATCTGACTTTAAAAGTAATGCCACTTTAAAAATATTTTTGATTTATTTTATAGTTGGGGTTTTTGTGTTTTGTTTTTGTTTTGTTTTTTTTTTTAAATACATCTAGATCAAAGTATCACTAAGATGTTCCATAAACAATTGCATTAGCAAGAGTCAGAGCGTGGGAGCCGGAACAATTTGTGACTTTACGCGTGCAAGGGTTGACAACTCCTACAACCACACTGCCAGCAAAGCAAATGTGAATGGCAGCATGCTCGCTGCCTCTGAAAGGAGAGGAGGTGCATCCATACACTGTGTTGCATGTTCCTGATGTTACTCATAGAAACAATAGACAAAGGTGTAGAAACTTCTGGCTCCCCCAGAGTTTATGTCTGCACATGTGTCTCATGTGAGAGAACACTAGGAAGCCCTGAAGTCAGGAATTTGAGAGTTGCAGAAGACTAACAAAAGCAAGCAAATAGACAAGGCTTTTCTGATCCATTACTTATGGGAAATGTAATATTAAAAGTAATAATTTTCCCAAAAATGAACATCAAAAGGAATTTTACACTCCCATAATGACCACAGATTAAAACACAGAAAGGCTAGACAGACTCCTCTGTTTCCTAAAAATAAAGGAATTCTCACATAACCTAGAGACATCTTTGTTTGCTACCCCAGGGGGCTGAGCTGGGTTCTGTTCAGCTCTTTGCCACCAGTGCAATCTGTGATGTGGGGCAAAATTAGCTTCTTTCTTCTGATTTTTTACCTGTCTGTAATATGAAAATATCAATATGGATCTTGCTGGCAAAGAAGATATCTGGCTGTGTATTGTGCATCAGAACTTTCATGACACTGCTGCAAAGTACTTTGTTATCTGCTGTATATCTCAACTTCTATATCAGCTGAAGTTGAAATAACTCAGACAATGGGTTTGCCTATATCTTCTGTGAAAGAGAGCAAAAAGTCCTGTACCTTAAGTAATCCCATTTTTTGTATTTGTATTTTATTTATTTTTAGTTGGATTCCTTACAAGTTTGACATAAACAGGTAATTTGTTTCTTCTGAGTTTTATGTCATGCAATGACTGTATTTATAAACTATTTTATAATGTTTTTCCAGTGCACAACACAATATATTCTCAATTCATATTCAAATCAAAATATATTTTGAACATTTTTCTCTCTGAGAAACTAATGCCTCCAACTTGAGGGATTTTTTTCTTCTTCTGAATTTCCAGTAAAAAATTTCCTTCCAGTGAGACAAACAATAAAAAGGAATTATTTTTCAACTGAAGATCATTCTTCTTTATTATTTTAATAATATTTCAGGTATTTTAGAAGAGAATTTAGGCCTGTTAATTTCTATTATCTGTCTTTTTTTAAGTCACTTTGTTTAATAAGAAAAAATTGAAATTATTTGGGCTTAAAATAATTTGGAGATGGATTAAATAATATTATTTTCATTTTTAATGATATAGTGTTCATATGTGTGATCTTTAAGCAAGGATGGCTGGAAGACAAATTCATCCTTAAATCATTAAAATATAATACAGAACCCTAATATTTAATTTAAATGCTTTTAGAGAACATTTAGGTCCTTTCTAACATAGTCCTTTGATGACCATGCAGGACAGAAGACTGCCTTTAAAAGCATTCTATCTATAGAGTTGTTTTTCTGTCCTTCTTTTAGCCTTTGCCCTTCAATCATATATATTAACTTGCCTAACAACCAATTGATTCACTCTTTCACAGTGGAAATATGGTAGTGGTCTAGAAGAAGACTGGTTAATCAGAAATAACTCACCCAGTGGGACACTTAAGAGACAGGAATCTGTGTAAAACATAGCTGAGTTTATTGTGGATGCTGCTCAGTCACAGAAATTATAGCTACGACTACACTGCTGTATTACACAGTCATAGCAAATTTAAAAACCCTTAAAAGTACACATTTTCAGACTCCTGGAGATGGTGGTGCCTTCTTTTACTATTAGTATGGCTTTGATTAGGAAGAAGCCTTTATCATTGATAACACTTAGACTCTTCACATATTAAAAATTATAGAGAAGCATTTTTAAAATAAAAAAATAAGCACTTTAGAATAAATTAAAGCAGCAACAAATAATTTAGCTAGCAGAATCTTGAATGTGTTTCAGCAACATAAATTATGACTTAAGACTACATATCAAACCCATAAAAATATCCTTACCTAGAAACCTTTCTAATTCTAAATGTTGTGTAACAGCTAAAGCTTCCGGGTAATTAAATTTAAGCTAGATTCTGGTCTCAAAAAAGACTTAAATCCCAATTGAGGAGATGCTGTCATAAACTTGCAGTCTTTTCTGAAGAAATTATTTCATCTTTCAAAAAACATGATACTACTGCAAATATTTTTGGGCGATGTTGGAAATACAGTTCTAAGGGAATAATATCATTCATCTCTTTACATGCTTCCCCTTTAGAGTGAAAAAAATTGTAACATTGTTTTCATAACCTTTCTCAAGTGTCACAGAGTAAACATTCTGAATACTATATATTCCTTTTGACATTTTCAACACTACACTAAGCTAGAGATAGTGACATCTATAATCAATCTTTTTAAATTGAGAAAAAATTGAACAAAAAAACCACAATTCTGACCCTTCCCACACTATTATTTCAGTATTATCAGGCTCCAAACTACATTCACTTCCCATTTTACAAAATTGTATTTAAAGCTGAACTGTCTCATGGACAGGAAAAAGAACAGCAATGATACCATTAATCATTAATTATAAAAAAGAAGCCAAGTTCAACAAACATGAACATCTATTCATTTAAGTGTAGCATACAGATTTAAGAATCACCGTAACTAACTAGAGAAGGATGATGTTGAGAATAATATCTCTTCAAGGTACTGACCTAAAGAAAGGACAAAACAATATATCTGAAAGACTAGGTAATCCAAGAAAATGAATTTTTGTGGTAATACACCTGAAGTTTAGTGGTAATACATTTGTGTTAAAATAATCTATTGATTTTTACAATTTTTTTTTCCAAAAAAACTATGTTTGACTATATAAAACCTTCAAAAGTAATATTTTTTAAATGCCATCTGTTGATTTAGAGCTGTCATTTTAGATGCCATCTGTCATTTTAGATGGTCTGTAGAGTAGAGGATTTACATTGTAAATATAGAAAAGCTAAGGAAATGTCACTTAACATTTCCAAAGACCAAGAACAACCCTGTTATAAGAAAAACACTAGCCAGAGAGTCTATTCTGCAGTACTGCATATATCAGGTGATTGAAGGCATAAGCTTTCTGACCTCATATCTTAAAATTTACCCACATTTGCAATAATTTTCATGTGATGTTCAGGTTGTCATGTTTTACAGCTTAATTAGCAACTTTTCAAAAATTTACATAACGTAAATACAACTTATGGACTTTTCTCCTACACATTCACTTACTTTTTATTGGGATAATGAGCTGAGGAACAACAGGAAGGATCTTGCTTCCACCATGCTCCAGCAGGTCATGGACTCCTTGGCGAGCAAAAAATTCATATGGAAATTCTGTTTCACAAAGCCCATCAAAGAACAAAGGCAGAAAGTAATGATAGTCCAGATTTTCAATTTCTACCTGAAAATACAAAATAAATAAACAGATAAATGCAATTTTTCAGTACTAATACAATGTGATCAGGCCAACAGATAATTCATGCCACTTACACAGGCATGTTTAGTAAATAATAACTATTTTTTATCACTGCAGTATATATTGAATTACAGGTATGTTTTATGACAAGATATTAAAACACAGAAATATTAGAACTAAAGAAGAGAATAAAGATTAGTATACTTCCATATATTTTCACTTTTGGATAAGTCAGTACCAGATTCTTATATTCTTGCTTACACACTTTACTTTGCAAGTTACCAATAGGAATCAAAGCAGTCATTTTAAGAATAATACTCTGCCTCTTTCAAAAAAATTTGATGTTCTATCTTCACTTGCACACTCAAAACAAATAAGAGAAACAATCCTGTGAGCAACAAATATCCTGCTCAACACAAACATCAAGATTTGTACAATAATTCCATAATTTGTTGAATACTGACCTAGTTTATTTCCTATTAATTTCAAGAGCAGAATTATAAAGAAATTCCATGGTTCTCCACTATGAAGAAAAGGTACAGAAATTATGTCCCTATTTTTAATAGGAGTTTCCTTCCAATCCTAAATTACAATGTATGCTAACCTTAACAAGTCATGGAGGGATTTTGCACTCTAGTTTTCTTCCCTTTTCCTTCTTTTACCCATTAGGACTCTACTATAGACACTCAGGCTAGCCAGGGAGAATCAGAAGCTTGTTTATGGCCTGTCAAAGCTCTGAATACAGCTGAGAAGTAACTCAACAGCAATGAATTTTCTCTGAAAAGAATATGATCCTCCAAATCACTTGGAGACCAATCCATCTCTTTAAGAATGCACTTCCATCATTAAAACACTGCTTAGCTGCTACCCAATTTTTCCAGTGAGATTTGGTAGTATCCAGGTAAGATTCTTCACACCAAACAAGCTTTGTCACATAGGCCAAATTGAAGCTCCAAATATCCTAAATAAAATTTGTCAGGTTAAGCAAAACAAAAACCCCACCCACTGATTTCAGAACAGAAAACAGTCTCACTTCAACTGTGGAAGTCTGAACTAAAGCAGCCAAGAGCTGAACTTAACAATTCTTGGGTAAATCACACAGTCAGGAAGTAGCACATAGACATTCTCTGAGGCTATGGTTCATTTTCCTCCTTGCTTGACTGAGTAGATCTGAATCCTGGTCTGGCACACCTTAACTACTGACTTCAATCTTTCATGTTGAAACAGATCAATCCATGTAAATCAAAATTAACGGGAACTGATACTTGAAAGTAAGCATTATGCATTTGCTCTGAGTGTCTCACTACTGGCAGTCATAGTGCCAATGACATACTAACATAGCCTCACATGCACTGATTGTTAATCTCTTACAGGAGATAAAAAGGGCAATTGCATAATGCCTATTCACTGATGTGAATGAAATCAAGTCCCAATAGTAGATCATGCAAGAGAAGGAACAAAGGAAACTCGCACTTCCTATTTTGTCAGCACCATATATTGTTTGCTTCACTATAATTTTTTTTTCCTCATTGGCTTTTCATTTCACAAGAAAAATCAAATGGCTTTATAGTCAATATGGACCCAAGGAAATGGTCTCAAGTTGCTCCAGGGAAGGTTTAGACTAGATAAAAGGAAAAATCTCTTCACAGAAAGGGTTGTAAAGCACTGGAACAGACTTTCTAAGGAAGTGGTGGAGTTGCCAACCATGGACGTGGTCAAAAGGTGTGGCTGTGACAGTTGAGGACATGGTTTAGTGGTGAACATGGTGATGTCCAGTTGTTAAGCCAGCACCACATGGTTTTTTCCAACCTTAATGATTCTATGATTATATAATTCTGTGGCTATACCATGGTCAATTTGTGAGAAATTCCAAAAATAAAATACGTAACAAAAAGAAATTAAATATTATTATTAATAAATAAAATAAGAATTAAAAGACATTGAAATTCCTAAATTGATGGGGTTTGTATTTCTTGAGGACATTCAGCACACTACTACCAATACTCAATAGATGACAAAAGAAGTCTTCTCTAAAAGTCACAAGAAAGTTTTATCAGGTAATAACAGACCAGGAGGTCAAAAACTCATTGACAAAAAAGCAGGACCCAGAAGAAGCAGTTTTTCCATGTTTTCTGTCAATAGGACAATAAAACTTCCTTTGCTATTTATTTTTAATGTTTAATTTGTAATCTGTAATTTTTTAGTATTGAACATTTTAGTTTCAGGAAATTAAAACCAAAACCTGCAAAAGATTCAGATGTTAAAGAGAGAGACACAATTAATAATGTCAGCTTTTTTTTTTTTTAATGGGAGGTGTTTCACAAGGCAAAACACCTTACCACACTGTCTTAATGACACGGGGTTTAGAATGTATTCTATATATGGGTATTCGACAACTCTTTCAAAACGAAAAAAGTATTTCCACAGTGAAAAATGTCCTTTATACACATCCTTGTTAGGTTATTGAATCAGAACTTGTATCTATCTTGTTCCAAACACACATATGCCACGTTTCTTTTCTCCCAGTCTTCATTAATACCTCCCCTAACTGTAACTGCCAGATATTTTTCTTCTCAAAGATTTGGCATTTCTGGTATGCTATGCAATTTTTTTTCCTCTTTTTGTGCTTGAAATATGCTTTTTCTGTTTTAGATATGAAGAAAGCTTCTCTACTCAGAAGCTAATCAATGTTTTTCAGCAATAATAACTGGTCAATAAAATATATAATCCTTATCTATCAACTCTGTATTATGGTTGCACATTATATATACATAGGAATGATATACCAACTTTAAGGTAAATATGATTGCAGGATTTAAAAACAACTCAAATTTTTACACACAGCACAGAAGATTTATTATGAGAAATCTTTTACAAGATAGACATATGACAAGCCAGTGCTTATAAAGTATTTGTGTGTATTCCTCAATTAGTTCCAAATGCCTTAATGGCTGGCAACTAGCATGGCTCTGAAAAGGATTTTGATTTCTAGCTTATTTCTTGAAGTGTCAGCTGTCCAAGCACACAGGCAATTTTTACTTAGCATTTTTTTGCTCTATAATAACTCCCACAATATGGAAGCCAGAAATATTTTGTCTTACATTCTATGGTGTGAAACTCTTTCCTTCTGTGTTTACTATTTAGCTTTTGAAAGTGGCTATTATACATCTGTTCAGAGAAAAATGTGTTTTTTCTGGTTTTGCCTACAACATCCTTTTGTGTTTTATATCCACCCACAAAAAATGCTGATTAATGCTGAAATTCTTGGCAAACTTGTCCACATACGACAATAATGCTGTAACTATGGATTTTAAGAAGAAATCTCACAATAACTCTTATAAACTTCTGTACTAGTGCTTTGTAAATTTTGCAGACCTAGCCTCTGAATTTTCAGTAAAGAGGCACTAATAAAAATTAATATATATGATTAAATAACAAAAGCAACCAGAGAATGAGTAAAATCTTTTGTTTCATGAAACTTTCAGGATCCTTATATGTTCTAAAAGCTCCCTAGGTGAAAAACAATATACAGTTAATAACTGCTGCTATATTGTTACATAAAACTAATGTACAACATGGGAGGAAACTAACTGCAGAATCACAATCAATTTGTCCATGAGAGAATCTGTTCCTATGAAGCAGCCCATAGTGAGTGGCAAGTGTGCTGAGGCAAAGAAAAATCAGATAAAGATTCTAGATTGACAATAGAAAAATAAGATTTGTGGCTAATCTGCCTGATAGATGAAGAAAACAAACTATCTGAGAAAACTTAAGGTAAAGAACAACTTTGACAATAATGGTATCACTGGTCTTCCTTAAAGAAAATAATTTAAAATAACCTAGTAAACTACAAGACAAACCCGAATTTTGGAAAGTAGTGTTTAAGCCACATTATTTAATTTTTCATCTAATTTCACACAATTGATTACATAATACCATGTCTTTGATATTATTATCCAAAAACTGGATTTGATCTCCGAGAAACATATCTAATTATGTATGTACTCATTTAAAGTCTTGGTCTAAGGCATTAAAACCAAGTAACAAAACTCTGGAATTGTTGGGTTGATAAGGACAAACAGGAGTTTTTATAAGGCTTGTAAAGATTCTTTAGTAAAATAATAGTGTCTCTTAAGATTTGCTTTAATGTCTGTTTTTTAGGCTAATTAAAAAAGAAAACCAGCAACATTTGTGAGCAGCCTCAGTTTTTAACGTCCTTTCCATTTTTCTTTTTTTTTTCTTCCAAAATCCTGTACAAATAGTCAAGATGAAGCCTGTGAATTTCAGTTTTTGGTTTCTTGCTTTTAATATATTTGATGCATAACGGCACATTAGTTTTAATCTTCACTATGGAGTGAGTAATGCTCACTAGTATTTCTCAGACTTGCCTAGATAGATTTTTCAATACGGAAATTTTGCTTATGGTTCAAAACACAATTCCACTGTTGCATTTAGTCCCTAGAAATTTTCTAGCAAGAAAAAGTTCTCGTTTTAGTCTGCTGTATTTCACCTTCTAATAGGGTCATACTACAATGATTTTCTATTGAAAGAGGCTTAGTCTAAGTAATTACCCGTGTCTTATCAAAACAAACAAAAAGACAGTTGTGCCTGTATTTTCCATTCTGCAATGAAATGCTAAAATACTTATCTTCAAACAGATGGAAGATGATCAAAGTTGAAGAGATACAGATAATGGCAAGGGACCTAGTAGAAACCATTTAACTCAGTCAAATTGTATTTAGATCCTTTTTAATACATTCTGTAGATATTTAACTTCCCACAAGAAGTTAAATAACAAAAGAAAATATTTGCCTCTTATGGAAAATTAAAAGAAGCAATAGGAAATGTCATTGGAGTGTTACTACACTGAATATTTGAATTTAGCTTTGAAATAACTCCTCATGTAAAAATAAAACCAAAATCTAAACCCCTAAAAATACAGAAACATTAATACACAACAATTTTGAACTTACTGTATTTTCTAC